GATCAATGGGGCTTTTTTGATGCGTGGGATGGGGGGGGGGGTGGATCTGTATTGGGTTTGAACCCTAACCACTTCCCTCTCATTTTTCTTTTTTCTGCAGTTCATGTTTGTCAGTAGACCGTATCCGTAGCTGCAGTTCATATTTGTCCCTTTTTTTGTCCTTTTCTTAAAAAAACTGAGGGAAATAGATGAGTATATCTAGTGTTATTTTTATGTGTTGATTTTCTTTCTTTTTGAAATAGGTTCAGTGTAGTTGTTGTAATTCTAGCAGTGTTCTTTGCTGACAGTACACTTCATGGAAATTTGTTGTAGTAATTTGTACAACAACATGATGTAGAAATTAAGTTCAGTGTAGTAATTAGTAGAAATTAAGGACTCACATACGAGGTACAAGCTACACATAGATGTGTTGTGTGTGGTTCGGGATGGTGTGGCATTTGATTCGCCTCTCTCCACATATTTTCTCCTTGCATGTCCTCTGCACCATTATGTTTTTGCACCCTGCGCCGTGCTTGGTTGTTGTTGCTGCTTGGTACTAAGTACTTGCCATGAGACTAGTTAGGTTGCATCTATTTGTGCTGAGTTGCTTGCTTGCTCTCTTGCCGCAATCTTTCATCCACAGTAGCAGTAAGCAATTCGGTTAGCTGAGAGATTAGCTTCAATTATGAAATTAAGCAATTCAACTAGCCACTGATTTTTGCCAAAGTCATTCGCTGTTCAACCATCAGATTACCATGTCTGTATTATGTGCCAGTGTAGTTGTACTGATTCTTTGGTTTTCATCCGTGCAACAGAGGACAAGGGCGTCATGGCCAACCAAGACGCATGGTGCTCGCAAGCGACGAACAGAGGTTGTTTGACATTGGCACGGAGGAGAAGGACGGGCGCGGACGGAGGACAGAGCATCTCTCTTCTTCCAGGTTGTTCTCCTTATCTTCACTTAATGTATGTGCCTGTGCTGCAGCTCACCCATGGTCTTGTTTGTCTTGCAGGTTAGTGAGCAGCTTCAGGAGGAGCTCAAGCACGACCACCAAGAGGCACCACCGCAGCAACAGGTAGCACGTCCATCTCCACCTCCCTCTCCCTCTCCTCCCAATACTTTTTATTAGATTATGTTGAGTACATTCTGAACCCCCTGATGTGACACAAGTATATGCACATGCTATGATTTAAGTGTTGCTTGTGTATGGCAAATAGGTTGAGCACCCACTGCTGTTTGATACTATTTTGTTTAGGATTTTGTTCCTCTATGCGTGTAATCTCCAGACCATGATCAAGCACACACACACGGTTGATTTTCATGGAACGATTACTACTAACTAAAGAAGGAACCAGACTTCTTCACATAAAGGAAGATATGTCTGTTTTTGTAATAAAAAAAATAAAAAAAAGATTGTTTGCATACAATCAGATCATTCTCACTTATTAGTTGAGTTCTAAGTACGTAGAATCTTTAGTTCTCTGGTTATATATAGTCAGAATTATACCGTGTGACAATCTTTAGTTCTTGGTTATATTATAGTTAGAATTATACTGTGTGACTGAGTTCTGTTGGGAGTGTGCATGATTTTATCCATAGCTGGCACTATGGATAGAGCTTTGTGTGTAATCTGGAGTTGTTCATGTTATTGTTCTATCCATTTATTGGTGTTACATGTGTAGCCAGTAACCAGGACCTGCACTTGTGCCATGCATATTCATATAGTCTCTATTGTCTTGTATGAATATCTCATTTTAACTAGCTCGGCTAAAAAAGCTTGGTACTAGCTGAAATCTGTTTATCATTATATAAAGAATTGTCCTTTACTCCTTTACTACTTTTTTTGAATGGAATGTTCATATTATATTGGCTCCAGTTTTTCTGATTCTTCTCAGCCGATTCATGTAACAGGGCGACTGTGGAAGGCATGTTGTATTTCTGTCAGCCCAGTCCTGACTATGTCTGTCCGTGAGTTTAACATTTGATCACTGTTGAAGGAGCTCCATGCTGAAGAAGAGAACACTTGTAGAGCTTGTAACATTACTTGGAGAGCTTGTAAAGTACTGTAGAGCTTTGCATTTGTAGAGCTTGTAAAGCATTGTATATGTTAGAGCTTTTATTATATGTCATTTGTAGAGCTTGTAGTGAATCTGGCTATTGTTATTTGAATAATTATGTGTGTTTTCTGCTTGCCTATTTAAATAATGTTTATTTTCTTAGTACGAAATTCAAATATGATGTCAAATTGAAATATGAAGAATCTGAGCCTAATAGCTGGGACCCATTTATCAGAACCTGACAAGTGGGACCTGTTTGACTAATGGACCCATTTTATAAAAAAAGAAAACTAAAACTGCTGGTACAAAAAGGCCATGGCCCAGAAAATAAAAAAGGCCAAATTGTAGGGCTTGGCATGTGTAGTTCACCAAAATTAGCAGCAAAAAAAATATAAATGTGCTGAATTGTTGGGCTCGGCCCATGTCAAACACTAAATCGGACCGGGCTGATTCTTGTGCCACATCAGCTTGCCATGCTAGATGCCTACGTGGTCTGGGGAGGTTGCTTGTGACCAAAAATTTGGTCGTGGAATCCAACGACCTTTTACATATCGCAAAGAAGGTCAGTAATTTCAGTTTACGACCGCCAGCTTTTGACCTTCTGTTTTTGGTCACAAAAAGGTCGCAAATGAAAAACTATGACCTTTCAATAACCAATAGTGGTGGTCACAAGTTGACATATTTCTTGTAGTGGGGGAGTGGAGGCACTGGTGCCAAATGCCTCAGAAGTTGATTTGGCACGTGTTTGGCCATACTATGTGAAACACTGCTGTAGTATGTCAATCGGCGGTCCATCATGTCATTTGGTTAGATCTAGCCTCTCGTCGCTGAGGACGAATCACTTGATCATTGAGCCTATCATGGCTGCAGTTGCACGGCATGTGAGGACGAACCACTTGATCATTGAGCCTATCATGGCTGCAGTTGCATGGCATGAACTCCATAGGCATGTATGCTTGTTTTTTTTGTTGCTTATTTTTTGAAATACGATTGTGCACGTCTTTTTAGTGTATACATAAAAACCAACTAATCCCATTTTCTGTTGGAATTGTTATTCAAACTAGGTACTGCGAAGAAATGTAATTACACCCGCATAATTGTGAACACCGTTATTTCATTTGCAAGAAGAACACAAGTGATATTTACTAATCTCTTCATTGTATTTTAATTATCTCTTGTGAAAGATTAGAAGCGATGTTACTAGCTAGTAAGGATAGGCAAGTGCTTATTATTATTATTATTATTATTATTATTATTATTATTATTATTATTATTATTATTATTATTATTATTATTATTATTATTATTATTATTATTATTATTATTATTATTATTTCCTTAATTTTTATTATTATTATTATTATTATTATTATTGAGAGCAGCAATTCGGTGCCCGGGCTCATATGCACCTAAGATAAAGAAGAAGAAAAATTCAAAACAAATACTACAAAAATTCAAAAAATATCTTTTTTTTTTGCATGGTAGATAATTTCGTGCGTGAGGTGCGCTCCAAATTTCAGATCATTTACATCTGTGTAGCTCTCGGGGAAAAAGACAATTTTGGGGTCTATAAAAAAAGTTTATTGTTCATGTATTGTTGTGACCCAATTTGTCTCTTTTTCTCAGAGCTACACATATGTCGAAATGAACTGAAATTTGAAGCGCACCTCCTGCACCAAATTATTTACCATGCAAAAAAATGATTTTTTTTATTTTTTTTATATATTTTGTGAATTGTTTCTTGACCGAGTGCAGATGAGCCTGGGCTCAGAAATTATTATTATTATTATTATTATTATTATTATTATTATCATCATCATCATCATCATCATCATCATCATCATCATCATCATCATCATCATCATCATCGTCATCATCATCATCATCATCGTCATCATCATTTGGAAATGCAAGTGGTTATTATGTACTCTAGCTAGTGCCTATAAATGCGTAAAGAAACAAAACAAGAAAAATAATAAAGTTGAGTCAAACATCCTGGCCGATCGCTTCCTTTGCAAGGAAGCGTAATGGCAAGAGTTGACAGTGGTGCCATTGAAGGCATCGTTGCAATCCTCCTGGGATAAGACTTTTGCACGACATATATTATCATAGGTTACGAAGAATTCTTAATTGCATGATCTCATTGTACAACAATATAACATTCCCATGAGGCCGCTTTTACGAATTCTGTTGTCATTTTTCAAAACTATCTTATGCTGAACAACCGTTCCTCGAAGCATGATTATGCTTTAGGAAAAAACTAAGATCAAATATGGAAACTTTTACCATTTGCATTCAAGTTGAACCGAGCAAACATAGATGTTTTGAGATTACGTTACAAGAACTTCTTTGAACAACAAGTTTGGTTTGTATCATACTTCTTATACAGGCACACAAAATTGTCAGACGTGTGATTGCAGACACATTTCTTATCCCGTCTAGAAACATCCGAAAATATTTGTCAGGATGAAAGGTGTGGCATGCCCGTAGTAAGATGGAAAAGGAGTGCATAGGATAGTTATTGTATGTGCCAAACACTAGTAAGGTAAATTTCAAATAGCCGCCCATCAGTTCGTGTGAGTATGTGATAACTAAGCTAGTACTACCGTGACGTTTGATGAATAGATTGAAAGTTTTTCTGGCAAAATAAAATAAGCTAAGCATCTAGTAAGATACTGCTTAACACGCCAACAAATATCATATCGGAGAGTATATAAATACAACGGGAAACATGTAACTGCGTGGACAAGAGAACTCACATTATTGGCAGCCACGCACAATCACTACAGGTGTTTATTCACGGAGGATATTCCGGATAGCTGAACAACAAGCAACACCAACTTTTTCTCGAGAGAGAAAACACAGCGACGAAGACACGACATACTGGTATACATATTTGTTGGTCACACACACACGCATAGGCACGATGACGCTGCTCATCTCGTCCGAGCTTTTATTTAATTTTAGGCGGAACATATCATATGCCGGCATGAACCGATCAGTACTTCTTGCAGGGTCCACCGCAGGTGCCGTCGACGGTGGATTTCATATCCGCGCAGCGCCACATTTCGGGGCTCGTCGACACCACGCGGCACGCCGAGCAGCCCTTGGGACACTTGGGGTGGGCGTCGTCGCAGACGTCGACCCCCGAGAAGGACCTGCAGTTGTTGCAGCACTTGGGGAAGAAGTCGGCTGCACGCACGCAAAGACATCGGCATCAGATAGCATCACCCATAAACACAGACCTCGATCCCTCACCGCGATCACGAAAAGGCAATCGATCGAGCTTTGTTGAGGAGCATGTAGAATGGCTGAGCAGCATCTGCAGCTTACCGTTGACGTGCGAGAGGACTCCCATGACCAGGACGGCCTGGAGGATCAGGATCGCCGCGAGCTTGGTGCCCTTCATAGTTGCTGATGAACTTTCAGCGCAAAGCTCTCACTTCACTTGTGTGGAGGAGTAGAATGCTTTCTGTTGTTGTAGTGGTGTGGCTGGCTAAAGCTGCGGATATATAGGCGTCGATTTCGTAACTTGATTGACAATCCTGCTAGGGCTGCTAGGCTAGCGGTCGTTATTATTCGGTTAGGTGGGGAGATAAAGATGTTTGACTACTGGTTTGGAAAGTTGGACTCGTTTCTTTTTTGTTTTATAGGCGGCGTGGATAGTTTGACATGCATTGTGTATATCAGACTAGTCACAATGATGAGTAAACTAGCTACAGTGGAAGTAACTTCAGCAGTAATATCAAGTTCAACTCAGCAAATTTGCTTACATGGCAATGAGTTAATGAGGAGAGAGGTAGTTACAGTGACTTAGCTAGTTACTGTAACATCACATGTCCCAATATAATACAAGTCTATAACCTAATAAATGAAGTTTTGCATGTTACCACACTTACTCCCTCTATTTCTTTTTACTCCGCATATAAAATTTGGTCAAAGTCAAACTACACAAAGTTTGACCAAATTTACATAAAAAATTATGAACATCTACAGTACTAAAACTATATAGTATGAAAATATGTTTCATGGTGCATCTGAATATATTGATTTCATATTGTGAATGTTTATATTTTTTAATATAAAGTTAATCAAACTCTATAGTGCTTGACATTGACCAAACCTTATATGCGGACTAAAAAGGAACGGAGGAAGTATGTTACAACCCACTATGAAGATAGTAACATAGTCTAAGGATTTGTGTATGTTGCTATGCATAACATACACGTATCCCTAGACTATGTTACTACCTTCATAGTGGGTAGTAACATAAGTATAGTAACAAGCAAAGCTTCATTTATTAGGTTGACTCATATTGCATTTGGACATGTGATGTTACACTAACTAGTTAAGTTACTATAAGAGTCAATTACACCACAGGTGTCTGAACTTGGCGAGAAAAGTCGGTTTGGTGCTAAAACTTGTGGCATACATTAAACCGGTGACAGAACTTGGCTTGGGCGTTCATCTAGGGTGCTAATCGTGTTTGTATACGCATAGAGTGATGACGAGGCGCGCCAACATGGCATGAGACCCAGTGTCAGTGACTGGAAGGCACATGCAAGGCGTGTGCCTCGGTTTTTTGTGAAACTCACCCTGGAATCTTATTTTACTCACAAAATGACACTCAAATTTTTTTCTTAAAAAAACCGAATGAAACGTCACAATGGCACTTGGGCCCCACCAGTCAGGGCGGAAATTGGGACCAAAATAATGTTGCGCACACGATCAAATACATGACATGTTCCCCTCTGATTGGACAACCTGGCCGCCACACCGAGTATCACTTTCGGTCAAAATACAATTTGTATCCTTGATGGGCTGAATATAAACGAGCATGCACATACGGCTTAAGTGTGCAGCAGTCACCGCGGCCCATTACAGATGTTAGTTTTTCTTCCTTTCCTAGAATTCTGTAAACATATCTAAATTAATAATAACTAGCACATATGCCCGTGCGTTGCAACGGAAGATACAATAATACTCCCTCCGTTCGAAAATACTTGTCATCAAAATAAATAAAAGGGGATGTATCTAGATGTATTTTAGTTTTAGATACGTTCCTTTTTGTTCATTTTAATGACAAGTATTTTCGGACGGAGGGAGTATGCATTCAAAGTCAGTGAAAATTATATATGCAAGCAAAACACTGTGTGCACACGAAAAAGGAACATTTAGTTTCTCGGTTTCACTGCGCATGAAGGAATCAATCTGCTATTTTTCCATTCATTGATCGAGGGCATTTAAGAGTTTTGTTACATCATCGTATGCCAGAGAAGACCCATGAGTTATTCAATCTACTCTTCCTTTCAATTCTTTCAATCGAGGGATTTTAAGGTATGAAGTTTCTGAATATTTTAGGAAACATGAACAATTTTTTTGAAAATTATGTACACTTTCAAAAAAACGCAAACAAAATATGAAAGGAACATATTATAAAATTGACAAACATTTTTAGAAAACACCATTTTTTATAAAAACATGATCATTATCTGAATTTGTGAACATTTTTTCAAAGGGGAACATGTGTAGTAAATTCATAAGATTTTTAGAAAATGTGTATCTTTTATACATGAACTTTATTTTAAATTTTGAAAATTTCACTAAAACATGAATATTTTCTAAATTTGGAGCATTTTCTGAAATGCCATTTTCTTTTAAGAAATCTCGAAATATTTTGAAAAAATTTGTTTTAAAAGAATGTGCAATTTCTTGCAAGTTCCGAATATTTATCAAAGTAGCAACAAAATTTTGGAATTCCGAATTTTTTCCAAATTTTTTTAATTCTGAAAGTTTTTTGAGAAATTTTAATTTAGGAAATAAATTTGAAAATAAAAAATAAACTTAGAAGGGAAAAAGAGACAGGAAAAGGAGAATAAAAATAGAAGTAAAACACAGAAAGAAAGAAGAAAGGACCAGCCCATTATTGGTTGTCCTGTGCGAAACTCCGACTATTTGTTGCCCAGTGCAAAAAATACTATTTTACCAGCTGCGTGAACAGAAAAATATGTGGGCTGGCTTTACTGGGCCACATCACGCGGCCCACGTATGAAAATTCTTTTTCTAGCAGACAAACGCATAAGAATTTAGTACCACCTTGGATAGAAAAAAAAATTGGCGGTGAACGGATGAAAAAATTAGCGAAACATACCTTGCTTTTTTAGCATGGGTATATAGGTAAAAATGATAAAGTAGTATATATACTACCACATAGCAGTATATGCGAAATGGGTTAGTTACACCCGGTAGTAGGATGCATTTTCCCTATATATATATATATATATATACAAATGTTCACCGCAGCCCATCTCGTTTATGGTGGATGTAGGGGCTGTCGTGCCCAGTTAAACTGATATATGGTGTCGCCAGGTTTTCGTCCTACAGTGGATAATCTCGATGGTGAGTGCTCACAGTGGGTTTCCCGATGATGCTCGAACCCGCTCTCCCCTCTCCTGTCTCTTTCTCTGGACTGATGTATTTCTGTTATGTCACAGTAATGGAATGGGGTTATGCCTGGTTTAAAAAAAGATTGTAATTATAAAAATTATTCTTATTTAAAAGAATGTTCATTTTATCCCAAAAATATTCATATATTATTTAAAACAAACATATAATTAAAACAATATTTATAAATTATAAAAATATTATTTCAAAATATATTCATTTATTTTTAGGCTATATTAATGCGTTCACCGAAAATATTCGTGTATTCTCTTTACCAGACATATTATTATTTATAATATTTTTTACGGAATTTAACGAAAAATAAAATTTAAATAATAAATGGAAATTTATTAGTATTTATGAACTAACAAAATATCATGTGAAAAATGGTCCACGCCGGCTGCTGCCTATTTAAGCCCCATTTTCGTGCTCACATATTGGTAATTAAGATTGTCTATCCCAATGAGACATGAAGCCAGACTTGGAGGCGTGGCTAGCACGGACGCCATGTTAACTTAGTCTTTTTCTTTAACATCGGTACAAACACAAGCGCTCATGTACACACACATTCTATCCCTATGAGTACCTCCGAAAGACTGAGCCGGCATATCATCTTAAGATTTACGAAGTCATCGTAGGCGTCTCGTCGTCGACGGAAACGTCTCCTCCCACTGAATGTGCATCGCTGAAAACCTGAAATAAATCCAGGAATAAATGCGAGCACCAGGATTTGAACCCTGGTGGGCTGGGGATACCACAGTCCTTCTAACCATCCAACCACAGGTTGGTTCGCATGTTAACTTAAGGTCGCAGGTTGACTCCCCGCTGTCACTTTTGCATATTGGTTTCCTCTTTGTGCTGTTTTCTGCAGGGTGGGCCCCAACTGTCATAGAGATGTAGCTACATTTTAGGGATTTGTCTAAGAAAAAAACAAGTGGCTTTTCCGTGATGATAAAAATTCAGGTGTTTTTCACAAAAATCGAACCACACGCCCTTGTCTCTAACTACCTGCCACTGAAACTGGGTCCCACGCCACATTGGCGTGCCTCGTCAGCACCTTGTGCGTATATAAACGTGATTTGCACCGTAGATGCATATCGAAGCCAAGTTTTGTCACCAGTTTAATGTACGCCACAAATTTTAGCACCAAACTAACTTTTCTCGCCGACTTCAGACACGTATGGTGTAATTGACTCTTACTATAACTATCTCTCTCCTCATTAACTCATTGCCACATAAGCAAATTTGCTGAGTTGGACTCGATGTTACTGCTGAAGTTGCTTCCACTGTGGCTAGTCTCAGTGTATATGTCACTCATGTTCGACAATCCGCCGAAAAACTGCCCTCCCGAAAAAATTGGATCTCGCTCCCGTGTCGCTTGTGGGCGACACCTGGGTGTCCCAGCCGTAGCTGCCGGTCTCCGCATCTCCGTAACTCCTCGCCGCCGCCACTGCCGCCGAGCACGGTGACGGCGGGGCCTGCTCCTCTTGATCATGAGACGCGTGCGGCCCTAGCACACATCGACGCTGGGAGTCTGCGGCAGCCAGGACGAGTTGGTCATGCGACTCTTTGCCTCGTGTTGAGTCTTCTGCCCTGGCCGGCTCCGATCTGGTGTTGAAGATCGATCTGGCCTATGGGCAGCACCTCGTGCCTCCTCATCTGGTTGGGTGACATCATGTTCCCCTCCTCAATGGTGGTATTGAAGCGTAGCTTACGGATGGTTCTGCCTGGAGGTGTTGCTAGTCCGTTGCATGGCCATGAAAACACTTTAGGAGTGTCGGTTTCTGGGCTTTGGGCGACTTTTTTTTAGAAAAAAGGCATACGCCCGACTTTATAAATAAAGCCAACAAGCAAAGTCACGTCACAATCATCCAACCATCAGAAAAGCAGAGTAACAATTAAGAAGTATGAATACATGGCATCCCAGCCAATCATGGCACGCAGGCCAGCCTTGAGACCAAAGGA